ACGATTGAAGCCTACCACGGTGGAAGGCCACGAAAGAGTGTTCAAAGCACTCTTACGCTTTCAACTTAATATTGAGTGGTTGAGGGATTTTAAGGTCTCATCAATTTTATTTATTTAATCACAATCAAATAAATAATGTCCTATTTACAACTACTAGTCCAAAGTTAATGAAATTAGTAGCATATGATATCCCCACTATTCGTTTTCATAAAACAAATCAATATCAAAACATTTTTCAAAATATTGGAGATATATGTAACTACTAATTGTATTCATTATAGTTTAGTAGCGTACGATACTCCCACTATTTGTTTTGAGAAAAACAAATCAATATCAAAAACGAATTTTTCAAATATTGGAAGTAACTACTACTACTAAGGTTTTTGCATTCCTTTGAAATTGGACTTTATAGTTATCTTAGGCTCTTGGATGACCATGGACTTATAAGGTTATTGCAACAACGAGCCATCATTGTTGAATATAAACTCGGGGAGGTTGTGTCAATTTAATTACGTGCTTATCAATCCAATTAAAACCATTTTCATTGAGCCATTAGAAATGAAAGACAATCATTCATTGCTAATTAGGGCATTGGACCCTTTTAATCTTTAATCTCATGTCAAAACCCTCTTTTAGTTATGTCTCCTTACCAATAGTCAAAGAAACTCTAGTCTAACACTAGAGGGAATCAACTAACGAATAGAGATTAAGAAGTAATAAGAATTACAAACCGATTTGTACAAATTCCTATAAATTACATATACTAAAAAAGGGAGAGATAGATTAACGTCAAACGCGACAAGGTCCAATTAAACAGTAATTAAAACACATTCCCAAGGTTCAAACAATTTGATTTTAGCGCCTTATCTCATAGCTCAATTATCGTTTAAGGCATAAGTCCAAAGTCATCCATTTTACAATTACTTAAACACATTTAAATAATCATAATGGAATGCAACATAAACATTTAGATTTAGTGTATATGGGCATAATATAATTATGAGTTTAAACAACTAACAAAATTAAAATCAAATATTTTAACTTTCTAGTTAGTAGGGGCCTTTTTGCAAATATGAAAAAGTTAGGGGTCAAACCGTAAATACTCAAAGTATAAAATATCTTTTCCAAATTACAAAATACCCCACAAGTGGGTATACCACTAGGGGAGGCCGGCCCTTGAATTGGGGAGAAGGTAAGTCTTCACTTATCTTCCCTTAAATCATGCAAAGTAGAATAAAATCATAATTTAGTTTGTCACTTGGTTTTGGTTTAAATGATTTTATTTCAAAAGGTGATGGAAATCTCTTAGATAAGTTTATGGTTTTATAAGTTTTTAATATGATTATGGATGGTAAGAACATCATCCAAAACCATAAAACTTTGCAAGAAAACCAAATAAAACACTTTCACCCAAAACCAAACCATGAACACCAAGAACAAAACCATGAACATATTTTCAAGATTTGTGTATTCTTGATGAATTTTCCAACCCAAAAACAAAAGTGACAAGGTTTCTACTTTCTAGCTTTGAAATGATGTGTGAGTGTCTTACAATAAAACACAAACATATGCTCAAAACTTCCCCCAAAAACGTGCCAACCACAAAGAACAAAACCCTAAAATTTGTTCATGACTTATTCTTCATTTCATGCATACAAAACAACTTTTACATGCATATCTTTTTCAACTCTTGATTTACATTTTTCAACCATTGAAAAACAAAAGATAAACATATTTTTAAATGAAGAAATCATATGTCAAAACTCATCTTTCATTCATGCATACAAAACAACTTTTGCATACATATCTTTCTCAACTTTTGATTAACATTTTTCAACTTTTGAAAAACAAAAGATAAACATACTTTGAATGAAACAATAATATGTCATACATAAGATTAATACCCATATGCATAAAATCCAAAATGACACATTATACATAAACCTTTGGCTCTGATACCAATTGAAGGGAAATCTGTGAGATTCATGTGGGATTTCTTAATGACTAGCATGCATATACAATTCAAAATTCATATACATGAGCAACGGAAGCATGTTATCATATAATATCAAAGATCTAGTCATGCAAATCCCCTTCAAGGTTCATAGGTTTATATATAATGCATCAAAACATTTTATAGAATCAAGAACAAAGTGAAGGTTAGTCTTATACCTCTTGATCTTGATTTTAGACCAAGCATGGACCACCTCCAAGCTCTTTGCTCCTTGAAATCCTTGATGCTAGCTTCCCTCCTTGCCTCCTCCACTTTGTTAGAATGAGTGCTCCTAGGTTCTCTTCAAGTTTCCAAAGTAGGAAACCTCTAAAGATCCTCACCCACAAATATAGTGAGAAGGATGAAGGAATAACCAAAAGAGTGAAAGATTGTTAGCTAAAACACTCTCTTTGGTGGCCGGCCCTTTGTATAGTTTTTGGAGAGATATTCTTTTCTCTTTTGTTGTTCTAAACACCAAAAAAAAATAACTTAAGGAAAATATCAATATAAAGTCCCTTATATATATCAAAGAAAACCTAGCCAACAAATTGACTAAATATCTCACCCAATCCACACCTATATAGCCGGCCTCTTTGTTGTTCTTTTGGGCTTTGGGCTTTTACAATTTCAAGTCATCCAATGCTTGAATAAAAGCCCAATGGGTTTAGGCCCAATGGGCCCAATTAAACCCGAACGTTTCTTTAAGCCCAAAACGATCTTTATCGCTTTTATGATTTCTTTAGACTTTCTAAATTAATCACAACAATTAATTAATCCAATTAATCATTTCCATCATCCATTAGTTACTCACTACAATAGTGTATCGGTGAACAATCTTTTAGGTTCTAATTAGCAAGGCAGTGAGGTGATCGGAACCAATCCAATTAATTCAATCACTTATTGAATTGAAACTTCATTTCAATTCACCATTCTTCTTTGGTGGCTACATTTAATCATCTAGAAGAACTCACAAGCTATGATTGACATCTAACCATATGTCATAGCTACCCAAGCTAATGTAGAAGTTTATTCGAAGAACCTATTCAGTTGGAATTACAATGTAATTCGATCCTTCTCTAATACAATACTCTCAATCACATCATTAGGGTATGGATATTATGTCAAACCCCTAATGTGATTATTCCTTCTTATATGATTCATTTGAGTCGTATAGGAACGCTTTCCTTTTAATACGCTCAATACTTCGGCCGAATATTCCCGAATCATATCTTAGAGTATTCTTCCTCTCTTATCGAGGATTAGAGATTCCTTGTTGCGCATACACTTGCCTTCATGACTAAGTGGCTTAACCCCAATCATGCCGTGGACACCCTCGAATGGGGAGACTTTGACATAATCAAAGATTAAGTACTTAACCACAAGACAACGACGATGCCTCAGGTCTAAGGATTACTTACATTATTCCAACCATTAGAGTTACTTGCTTGACATGTGAGTAGACCTCCATGCAAGTACTCTCGTTCGATTGTGTTCAGTGAACTCATTCCCCTAATGAGCACCTACATACTTGTCTTAGTGTCACAACACGAATGGGATGAGACTTTCCATCCTTCCATTTGAAGCAGACATAGTATGTACTGGTCTAAGCATTGTCAGTATCCCTCCGACAATCCAATGACCAGGAACCTTTTGGACATCTGGTTATGTGAAGAAGGTCTCTGTAGTCTAACATCATTAGATTACTTCTTCAATCGATCCATTGTCCATGGATACACTATTAAGGACATATTTCGTTTATTGAGATAGTCCTAATTCGTGTCTTTGCCTTTGATGTATAAGATTCATCCATACATTCATTTATTTGTCCTGAAAGATTTCTTCCAAAGATTGACTTTCAGGGCATATTTCCAACATGAGATTGCTTCAGTTATGCGAGATATGATGTGATATATTGAAAGCTCATAAACCTGCACCCCGGTGTTAGTGCTCTCGCCCATAGTTAAGGCATAGTCCTTCACGTGATGTTCACCTCCCGCACCATATGCTCACCTTGGATCCAAGTTAGGTGCACAAGATTATTGTACAGACCATTATAGGTGGTTCCGACTCATAGGTGACCTACGATTATTCGCACAGTCTTCAAGTGATCGTAGCACTAGCATATTTATTTACACCTAGTCCTGTCGTATAGACCATTTTAGGTGGTTCCGACTCGTGTGCATGATTTGATATGGTTGAAATTGATTATGAGCTATAGACTCACGTTAGGTGGAGCCGACTAATATGATATTCGGCATTGATATATTTTAACTGAATTACTTATGGCATTTCATTGAGATACTTTGGCATGATATATTTCTATGGATTTCATCTTAAACATGATTTCTGATATAACATATATTATATTTTCTGGGAGATTGTACAAGTTTTACGGTGAGGGGTTAGAACTTTTGAGAAATGAAATGATTTTGAAAAGCTTTGTTTTTGCCCACTCACACTTTCTGTTTTGCGCCCCTCTAGGTTTTAGGTAGAAGTGTTTTGGTGGCTCACGGGGATTTCGACGGTGGTTCTGACATAACATCATAAATGTAGGATCACCTTTGGGTGTTGTATAATTAGTACTTGTCCTGCCTAACTGCACTTAGGCTATTTATGCTCTAATTGTGTATTTCACACTTAATCTTGCACTAGCACCTTATTTTAGCTAGTACTTTTAGTAGTTTGGTTTTTATTCATTCGTATTTCCTTATATCTCTTTTGCTTCCGCACTGTGCACATAGCTATGTTACCCTCACGTGACGGCCAGCATGCCTCGATCTAGGTTGGGGTGTGTCATGAAAAATTTAGTATTAATTACATTTTACACTCTAAAATTTGGAAATCATTTACAAAATAAGTCTTGAAATTTTAAATTTCACATATTATGCCACATAATTTTTTAATTTTATCAATTTAACCCGTCCGTCAATTTTACCGAGGCCGCATTGACTTGGACGGCGAGTCCCATGTTCGTTGAGGCGCGTACGCCTACTTTGCCCCCCGAACAAGCCTCCCCGACTCTGACCTCCATTTACCAAATACCAGAATACAAAAACCAGTGGACATGTCAACCACCATTCCCACGCCTTCGTCTTCCTCTTAAGCTCTCGAACCAACCCTCTTAATCTCCAACCCACAATAATTATTACTAATATTATTTAATATATATTCAAATTAAATACTTATTCTAATTTGATACTCCTTTGTTATTAGTTTTCTTTGTTGTTGCTTAAGAATAATTAAGAAGTCAATTAGTCGTTGTGCTTTCACTTTCTCCATTTGATCGGCTGGTAACTTCCTCCAATCTTTGACTCCAATTGAAGCAAAACCCCCCTCTCTTAAGCTGTTTACTCCAATGGGTTTCCTGTTTTTCTCTTCGTTTTTTCGATTTCTTTCCCAACACAGAGGCTTGGCGGTGGCGGTGGAAATTCGGAGTTGAATTTCGGGGATGGGATTTATGGGGTTTGGTTCGGGGGTCGTGAGGAATTTGGGGTGTTTGTGGTCTCGGCGGAGCAAGCTGTACTGGGTTGTATTCTGGGTTTGGGTTGCTTTTGTGCTTTTGCCGCCGGTGGCCAGTCTTCGACCCTTGCGGGAACGAGCTCGATCATGGGGCGATGAGGTTGGTAGTCGAAATTTCGGGTTTTTTTTCTTTCTATGCTTAGTTTTGTTGCATTTGGTTGTTTGTGATTGAACTTTATGACGTTTTTAGGTTAAAGGTTGTGAATTTCAGTTGGAAATGTGAATTTGATCTGCCAAGTGCTATTTGTGTTTGTGTGTATGTAAATATTTATACTAGCTATATTAACTCATGGGAAGGATGTAGATGCAATGATAAATGTAAAATCGAAGTTCATGTTTCTAGAGATAGGTTAATGGAGAGCTCAATATTGGTGTTATACTTGCTAGAAAACTTAAACATTCATGTTGTGAACCTTTGTTATGAACCCAGCTGCTTCAAAAAGTCATGGTTCGTAGTTAATTTAGTTGTAGATACTGAGTTCTGCAGCCCATCGTTATTTTTAGTTCCGAGTTAGTTTAGTTAGAGAACCGCAATAGTGGTGTTTCACTTGGAATGTTGATATGATCACTTAAACTATATGAGCAATGACTTACATGTCCTGCAATATTTCTGTCTGCTTGTTATTTCCTTGGTTGTGCCCATTTTATGGGCTGCATTAAGTGCATCTGTATGTGGCGGCTTATAAATTAGATAAAAGAACGCTTATGCCCACAACACTGCAAGAGTTTGACTCTCGCCATTCCCTCCCCAAATAAAAGTAAAACGTCGTTTGCTGTTAACCAGTAAATTTTTTTCAATTACTTGGCATTGATATAATTTGTTTGACATATCTATATACTTTTTATGAGGAAGTAGGTTTATGACCAAAATTTGTTTTGGAATGGTATGAAATTGAACAAACCAACCTTTTAAATTCCTCAATTTTCTTTTTGCAGTGGCTATTTGTAAAAAAAGATGAAATTGATTTGGGACCATTTTCTACATGGAATATAACAGGAACTTACAGAGGTTTGTAACTTATCATACCTTTGAATAATGTTAATTATTGCCGCTATTACTTGTTCAAGGTTTGTTCATTGCTAACTGGATCATAAGATATTCTTATTGTTCTCATTAGAATTTTGTATCATGAGGCTTATTGCTGAAGTAATTGGGTTAGAAGCAGAAGTTGCAAAATATATATTCTTTATCTTAACAATGCTATTTTTCTTAATTCAAGAAACATAATTCATTAAACAAGAACAGGACAATACAGGGAAAATGTTTTCCCACAAATATATGTAGAATAAACTAGGCTGACTAGCTAAACAAACCAACAAAACTAGGCTGACTAGCTAAACAAACCAACAAAGACTGCTAATCTATGTATAATATACTAGGCTTACTAGCTAAACAAACCAACAAAGACTGCATAGCTAAGCAAAGGAGATGTCAGCAGACCAACAAAACCTAGTGTACAGCAGTAGAATTCCAATCATACAATACAGCCTGAATATGAACTCTATCCCAATGGATGATGACTGGCATAAGCCTCTGGATTGTATGCATACATTCTGAAGATACAGACGTCCAAAGGGAACCCAAAGACATATTCCATACAACATAGTCTCATTAGATACAGTCTAAGATTATGAATTATCTAAATAATTAACTGCAACGAATCTTTTGAAATGCATGATTCCTTTCTTTCTGTCTTCTCCGGCATGAATCAATGTTTTCTGCATATATTCAAGAACCTTACTGTAAACATTAATGGATAAAACTAAGCCTGTAAAATTTGCTTTCTTGACCTGCTTAGACATAATATATTTACATGTGAGTTGCAGGGACTTGGAAGTTTCCTGATTCAACAAATAGCTCTTCCAGATTTCCGGATTTTAGGAATTCCCATGGCAACAGTATCATTGAATTGGTTAGCACGCCGACAAAAATAACTGGCGTACATTACGTACAGGTGAGTAGTTTGAACCCGTAATGACCATCATATCAAAGTAAGGTCTGCATCTGTATATATATCCTTGTGATGGGCTCTGATCATCTTTAAAATGTCATATTTGAAATGAGCAGTCAAAAGGCTCAAATATTCTATCTTCTCATGGCCTACATAACTATAGAACTATTTCTTTCAATTGTTTTAGTGTTAACTTTTCAAGTTATTATTGTTCTTTTTAAAATAACAGTCTACTTCTTCATTTGGCTGACAATAGGGGGTAATTATTTTCCATGATGTGTTTGACAATGAACACAATGTTGGTGGTGTTCAAATCAGGGTGGAGGGTGTATTTATATGGCCGTTTAGACAACTTCGAATGGTAGCTAACAGGTAATTTTTCCTGGTTCAGTTATTGAAAGCTTTTCGTCCATTTCATTGATTAATTGTTTACACCCGCTTGCATTTAATATCTTCTGTTATGGATATGTGCTCCATCTCTTTAAGGAAAACAAAATATGTGCTCTTATCATTTTGCAGTGGAAAAGAGGGAGAGTCAAGCCAAGCAGAAGAATATTTATTGTCAAATCCTTATCATATGGTAATTTTTTGTTCAATTCATTGTTATGAAGCCTTATAACTCTGCTTTCTGTAATCATATGCATTATCCCTTGGTGTTTGCTCGGTGCTGCTAGTCATGTTGATTTTTGTAATCTGGAGTGCCAAAAATATATGAAAGATGCTAGTACTTGTAATAGTCATTAATTTAGAAAGTGAAATGCAATTACAGAGGTTTCAAGTACTCACACATTACATGGTACCTTTGCAACAGCTTGGAGTTTTCTCTTCCCAGGTTTTCCAAGAATCTCCTAGAGATAAGATATGGAGGAAAAAACATTGTAATTTCTCCTACTTCACTATGAATTATTTTCATCTTGCTTTTTTCATGTTATGATAATTTTATTTTGCTCATACTGCAGCTCCAATCTATGAAATGGAGAAACACTGTAATGTAGAAATCGCGGGCCAAGTTTCACGTGTCTCATCCACCCATAATGGTATTTGAGTTTTCTCAGCGTATGGATTCTTTCTTTCCTTTTAATTGCTGCCTCACCATCCCTTTTCTTGGAAACTACAGAATCTCTAATCTTTTTTTTTTTGGACAGAATCTCTAAACTTAGTTTCACATTTCTTGCCAACAGTTTTCCTGATAAGATATGATTCAGAAGCACTTTTAATTGTTAGTCTATGATTTTCACATAAGTGGACATAATGCTTATGTAATGTACCATCTTCATCATGTAATTCTTGCCCATGTCATGATTCGTTTCTTTCATATAATCTTTTATTTTCTTTAATACTGAACGTGCTCGTAGCATCTTTAGTTTTTAATTGTGCCTACTTTTTGTGAGTTTTTACTGAATAAATAGATAAACTTAATGAATGGAGGGGCTTGTGCATGTGGGAGGTCAAAACCTTTTGGTCTAGGTTGTGAATGGACATAATTATTTGTTTGTTTGTTTGTTTCTAAAGTCCAAGACTCATTCAAATTTCTACAAATCTTTATTAGATGGAGATCGTGATCGATACCATATAGAATCGTTGATGGAGAGTCCTTCAGTGGATGATGATGGAGATTGCTTCTCTCCCTTGATATTAAACGCTACTTCTGTCAATGTGGAGGTGTACTACAACAAAGCAGTGAACTATACTTTGATGGTCACCTTTGTATCCTTTATTTATCATTGTCTTTCAGGTTAATTTCAATGTTTTATGCCATATTTGTGTAGGCATATTCCTTAACGTATTTCCTCAGGTCTCTTTTCTCCAAGTTCTCCTCTTAATTCGGCAAATGGAACATAGCAACACTCATTCAGTAAGAACTTTTGTCTGAACATACAAAAAAAAAAAAGGGATTTTAACAATACATGCCATTTGTATTTACAAGTGCACTTTTCAGGGGGCTGCCAAAGTTTCGATTCTAATGATTGGCCAACAGGCTATCATGGATGCTTATCTCTGCCTTCTACATTTGACTGCAGGAATACTTGTTGGTAAGTTTGGTTGAGATTCACTACCTGCTTGTTGTAAAGGTTTCCAATCTTAGGAGTGTTACTCTGAAGCAGTTGTGATTAAATATAGTCACTACTAAAGCTGAAATTATTGTGATCAGGAAGTATTGGGGTTAAGATTACAATGAGCAACTCTCATATAACCGACCCCACTTAGTGGGATAAGGCTTTGTTGTTGTTGTAAAGCTGCAAATAGAGATAAATGCTGTTATTTAAGATAAGAAACTGATTACAACTACTTTGAATATTGTTTTCACGAACTTATAGCAGCTTTTTGGAACATAGATTTCTGATGAAAATAAAACCTGGTGGGCTTTTCAAAAATGTCACTGCAAAGTGCATGCTTCCACATAAGAAATCTTTTTCTCAAGACCCCAAATGGAGTTTGTTACAGACTGATACACGTGTATCGTCTGTTATGTTTATAGATTACATGTCCTATTTTTGAGCATCTTTCTTCACATGCTTAATATTATTGTGCCCATGTCCTCTATAATTACCTCATTTGTTTGTCACATGTTAGTTTTTGCTTATTAACAGTATTTTTAGGCTTTAACCTCTTGTTTCTCCTTATTAACCATATATTTTAACCTTGTTTCTTGTTCATACAGAATCCTTGTTTAATGCTTTTGCGACTGCTGCTTTTTTCAAGTTTGTTGTCTTCTCAATATTTGAGATGAGATATCTTCTTGCTATATGGAAAGCTAGTAGGCCTACAAATAGCGGGGAAGGTTGGGAGACGATGAGGCGTGAGCTTTCAGTTCTATATAGCCGTTTCTGTAAGTACTAATTTGGAATATATGCTTCTTTGTTTGTATGTGGAATGCCATTTCATCAACTTTTGAATTTAAAGCCCATTTGGTAAGTTATTTGTTTTACCCAGTGCAATAAGGTAGAAAAGTTGCATCCAAAAAAGACTGGAGGATAATTTGGGGAGGGTTGTCACTAGTTCTCTTCTTGTTTCAAGAAATATGTAATTTGGTAGAACTTGATTAGTTGTTCTGAAAATAGAACTTGATTAGTTTAATAGAAAGAAACAATTAAGCAACGTAGACAATGAGTGGGATGACTTTGTAGACCTACAAACAGCCCCTTAAATCCAATGTATCTGATACAGAATAATATATTTGGAATATTTTTATTTATTTTCCTCTATTGTTGAATTTCATAATTGTTATGGAATTAAGATTACTTTCCTATTCTAGTAGATTTAGGATTCTTCATGTTCGTTGTACGATTAGATTATTATGAACAGGTGTTTTGTGATTTAACATTGAGACACTTGATTGATGAACGAAATCATCTCCCTGAGTTATCTCTTGCCTCTGTCTTCTAAACCTAATCTTCCCTTCTGTTCTAGATCTCTCCTCGACCTATCTGTTTCTTCTCTGTCTTAAAATTCTAAAATTCTCCTAATTCTCTTATCTTGAGCTCTAATTCTAGTTCTTCTAGAATCCCTTCCAAACCCTAAATTCTAGTACTTGTTCATCATTAATTGACTTTGATACCAATTGATGTAGCACAAGCAACCAGAAATCAGGGTTTGGATCTAAAAAACCAAAAGAGATAGGTCAAGGAGAATTTAGAAGCACATCATTAGAACAGAACTCTAGAAAAGAAGATACGCATGGAGAAGATTTGTTTAATCAAATTATTTAAGTCTCCCAACATTGAATTACAACGCACCTATTTATAATAACCTAATCCTACAAAAAAAAAAAAAATCGTAAATTTACTAGAAATAGGAAAGTAATCTTAATTCCATAACACCAGGAAATTAAATCATATAGGAAAATAATTAAGAAATTATGTCCTTTCTTTTGCAACCTACGATGTGTGCTCTTTGATTTCCCTCTTAGGTTTATACTGTTGACTGAAAATATTCTAGCTTATGAGTCTTTGTTTCAAATTATAGGCTTTATCTAACTGTATACTTATTTGCAGATGGGATTCTTTTGGGAGGCATTCTGCTCATGTATGAGTTCCATAACTTCTTGAGACCTATTCTTCTCCTTATGTACTCCTTTTGGATACCTCAAATTATCACCAATGTCATTCGTGATTCAAGAAAACCTTTGCATCCTCATTACATCTTGGGCATGACTGTTACGCGGCTTGCAATCCCATTATACATATTTGGTTGCCCTAACAACTTCATGCGCATTGAGCCTGACAAGAGTTGGTGTATTTGTTTGGGTGTATTTATTGGACTGCAAGCGTCCATTCTTCTTCTTCAGCACTATCTTGGCTCGCGGTGGTTCATTCCTCGTCAGGTTCGATCTAACTCTGGTCATTTATATCTTCCTGGGAATTCTTTTCCTTGACAATTCGCTTTTGACGCACAATGACACACAAACAACCTCGCATCAAGACAGCCATCATTGCTGTATTACGAAGGAATGTTAATTATACGGGTAACTTCTTGTGGAATTTCCCCCAAGCAAGGAGCAGGTTTATTCGATTGGAATAGCATACAAATTGCTTCTTTCAATCGCACAGTAACTAACGTCTTTTCATATAGAATACTAATATTATGATCACATAAAAAAGATTGTAACTAAATGCTTTTTAAATTCCCATCTTGAAGGTCTGTAAACAATATCGTGCTTCACACCACAATTTTGTGTTAAAATTTGAGCTCCTTTCTTTATTATCAAAATAATGTAGTTTATGTGCAGCTAGTATAACAAGTGTTTTTTTTTGTGGAAGTGTAATTATATTTATATCTCATTTCTGTTTGATGGGTTGCAGATTCTACCTGAAAAATATAGCTACTGTAGAAGGCTTGATCAGAATACGAATCGCACCACAGATTGTGTCATTTGCATGACCGCAGTTGATCTCACACAACGTTCAAACGATCGCATGGTACTGTGACGGCATGTTTTATATTGTAATGTAAGTACCCAAACTTAGGTGCTTGATTTAATGTTCTATTTCCTTTGCAGGTGACACCATGTGATCATTGCTTTCACTCGGGTTGTTTACAAAGGTGGATGGATGTAAAGATGGAGTGCCCAACTTGTCGGCGTCCACTGCCACCAGCCTGATCCTTCCAGTCTGTCTATATCATGTATAGGATCAACTGACATCGCCCAGCTCACTAATTTTGGTAAAGTCGTTGATGCAAGCAATTTAGTAGAAATATTCTGAGTTTTGTTTTCTCTGACGTTTTCCTTTTTGGATTTATTCTTCGCACAATAATAATTGCTTGGATTTTCCCATGAGCTTCATCAATAACCAGTTACGCGAAATTTTAATAAATCCAACATTGAAGACATGTCAGTTTAAAATTTGATTTTGATGAATCATATTTCAGTTCAACTCATCCTCTTTGCTCGAATATTATACATCGGTTTTCTGACTTTAGCAAAACTTCGTGTTCTCTTGTTTTGGCTTCTCACTATCTATTTCCTTCCACCAGTTTCGAAATAAGATGTAAAATCTGTTATTCTGTATTCCGTTTCAGGTTGGGCATTGAATCGATATTCAGGTTGAGCGCACCTTCCGAAGGAAGAAGGATGAGGTACGGCATATAATCAATCAGTTTCCATTTCCAAAATGTAACAGATTCTGCATCAGTTGTTACTCGAGCCAACAATTTTTAATTTTTCACTTTTGCTTTGTTTGGTTTTGTTGTATAATGTGTAATGTGTATGTAGGAAGCAATTCTTTAGGTGCAAATTCTTGCCAAGTCCATCAATTGTTGTATAATGTATAATGTATAATGTATAATGTAGTAAACAATTGTTGTAGGATCTTGTAGACTTGCAATAACGAATTCTATTGGAGAATAAAGTCTCACGGCGGAAATGTAACAAAATAATATACAGCTTATATGTCAGAGTTTCACTCTTAATATCACCGAGGTTTTTTATGGAACTCTACACTTTGTAATATGTAGTTAAGTTGGGACAATGTTGTTAGTGAATCGTGTTGGGTTTTATCAAATCCTTCTTTTGAACTTGCACCACACGAACCAAGTAACTAGCTACTCTCGTGTATTTCTCACTCGTAGTTCGGAAGGCTGGCTATTAGATTTGCTCTTGCATAAAGCGTTTTGCCCATTAATTCCAAAGGACTGGCGTTTGAGAGAATATGTTTGGTGTTTTGGTAAAGACCATGAAGTGTCCCAACACACGAAGGGTGGTTCTAATCTTCCCTGAGGTTCGGCTTGCCTCTGGCCACAAAGTGCTCTTAACTGGTTTCGAACCTCTGCCCCAAAGGTACCAGGGAATCTGCCGGAATGTGTTTGCTTTAATATCCACTCTTCAACATCATATAGTATGAGGCTATTTATCCAAAATGGTTCATAAGATTTTCATCTTTTTATTTTGATCTCTAAAATTTGTATAACTCCTCATTTTGATCATTGAGATTTGAAATCGATAGAATTGGTCCCTGAGTTTGTCCACCATCAATCATTTTGGTCATTCCGTGAAAAATCTTCATTAAATAAAGATAAAATGACAAAAATACCCTCAATTTTGGTCAAATCATTTTGGCATATTGTTTATTAAATTGAGGGTAGTTTTGTCATTTTAATCCTTCTTTTTTTTTTTTGGTAAAATTAATCTTTTTTTTAACAAACAATATTATCCACACTAAGAGAGTGGGGTGAATTTAGCCTCACAATGGTTTTAGCAATAATGTGGTTCAAATTTGCCTTGGCGACTATCGAACCTAAGATCTTTCACTTACAAGTGAAGAGAAATACTACTAGACCGTAATACCAAATGACTTGTCATTTTTATTTTTATTTAACATAATTATTCATGGAATGACCAAAATGATTGATAGTGGATAATCTCATAAACCACTTGTATTGATTTTAAATTTTAAGAACCAAAGTGGAGAGTTATGCAAATTGCAAGAACTATTTTGGCTAAAAAAACTGATTGTATATGTAATATACTAATATATGAAGGGAGAATGTCAAAACAGTAAGGCTCTCACGATCTCCAAAATACCCCTCCTCAATTAGAATTCTAAAATAAACAATTTACTTTAAAAAAATTTAAACTAAATAAAAATAAAAAGTAAAATATAAAAAAAAAATAAAAAAATTGTCACACACATGAACGTGTGGCATGAGACTAGTAGAAAACTAAAGGAAAATGCTCTCTTTTGCATGTGCAATAGAGAAAACAACAAAATTAGAGAATAAACCAGTAGGGTTTTTTTTGGTAAATAATAAAGGCTAGTTTTGATGTGTTTTCAAAATTATTAAAAGTGATTTTAAAGAAAATATTTTTTGGTTTCAAAAGCACTTAAAGTGCTTTCAACAAGAAGCATCAGTTATGTGCTTCTTTCAAGAATGAAACACTTTAAGTGTTTTTCCATAATTTACTTATATTTTTAAAAATGATTAATTTCAAAAATATTTTTACCAAAAAAACTTACGCATCCAAACCAGCACTAAATTAGTATGTTCTTAGACTTCTGGTTTGCTCGTTTACAGGGCGCCAAAATGGCCAAGCCGATAATTTAAAGGCAGAGTGAGGGTAAAACAGTCATTCCAGATAACCCTAATTGTCCCCTGTCTGCTGATGTCGCCCCATTTATATACCTCCTTCATTTCCTAGTTGAACGAGAAGCACTCGGTTGCTCGACGCTCGCTCTCTTCTTCGTTGACTGACTGTCACTCTCTTCCTCCTCGCCGATCATCTCTCAGGTTATGGTTTTTTTCTTTCTCTTCCGCTTTGTTTGGTTCCCGAGAAAATCCTGTTGAGAATTGTGCTCTCTTCATTTTCCCGACTTTTCTCGCCAATCAAACAACCCTTTACGGATGTTTAAGGGAATGTGTTGACTTGTTGATTGTGGTTGAATTTGGCAGCCGATCTTATCCGGTGGTTGTTTTTGCTGTTATTGTTGTTAACACCTCTAATTTTTGTATTTGTTACGAAAATGCATGGAATTTCTAACACTCTGATCATTAATTAATTTCCTTGTTTGTTTGTGATCACACTAATATTTTGGTTGCCGAGATGCCCAAACTTTGAAGTTCAAACTTTTTTGGAAATTCCACTTGAGTTCTTGGTTAATTACGTAATCTGGCTCAAATTATTGTAGACTATACCAGTATTTAGTAGTTGTCAGTGGCGGACCCATTCATGGACCCCGTGATCTCGGACCAACTGGAAGTCCGAAGAAGCGTCTGTGAGGACCTCCGAGGACCCGGTCTGGGTAGATGGTGGAAGAGGGAAGACAATCATGGCTGGCAGATGCTGTGAAACAAAAGCTTTGAACCAAGAAGAAGACAACACAGAGAAGACCACCATGGCTATGCTGTTCCTGGACCTTGGTTCCAAGTTCCAACAAAGAAGAAAAACTCTCTCTCCATTTCTCACATGACCAACTCCCCCAGCTTTTTAAAATTGTTATTGTGCCACCTAGCATTTTAATTAGTAAAGTGATGTGTATTAAAATAAAGGGTAAAATAAATAGTATTGTGATTTATTTTTGGAGGCAAATTATCTGCCCTCCCAAAACCATACATTTCTCATATCTTTCTATTTGTACGGTCACGATTAAGTCACGTTAACATTTTATATTCTTATTGATTTTTGTCTTATTATCTTTATAAAAAAAATCAATATAAAATGTTGACGTGGTTTAATCGTGACCGCATAACACAAGAGGGGATGGGAAGGGTATGGTATTGGAAGGGATCTGCTTTCTTATTTTTAGTGTAAAAATGTAATTTTTTGTTAAAATAAACAGTATCATAACTTTTCGTTAAAGTTCTTTACTTTTTATACCATATGTTGACATCCGTTTTTTTTTTTAATTCACTATAAATTCATACAATATTTGAAAATTTTTCATCTCGTACCACTAAAATACTATAGCAAAATTCTGATATTTTTGTATGTTATATGTTAAGTAATAAACCTAATTAAAATAGTAAACCCAAACTCTCAATACAAGTATAGTTTTTTTTAAGTGTAAATAGATACTTATTTATATGATATTTAATAAATTTACTTAAATCTTTCTAAATTCTTTAGGACCCATCTAGGCTCAGGCACATGCCCTAGCCTATTGCCTGACTAGCACGTATCTTGATTAGGACCACCGATGTTAGAATCTTGGATCTGCATAGTATTACGCTGCTTTCAGGATACCTTCTTTATAATTTTCAACAACTGACTATTTTATGGAGAAAAAAAAATTCCGTTAGTTAAGCTTGTGCGAAGAATTATATTATTTCATTTTGCTGTGTCATGGTTTCATGTGTATCATTTGCGGAATACTCAATACGGACATCTCTTGTAGATGTATTTGGCATGCCTGTATTTGAAATCATGTTGTTCTTGTGCAGGTCACTGGCCTGAGTTATAATCATGGATGATGGGTCATCGTATCCATCGGTATTTCAGAAAATACATGGGCAGTCTTACCTCATATGTAGGCTTTCCCCCAAGATTCACACAAGAAACTATGGGGTGAATGGTGCTTATGCCAATGGAGCTTTGCAGAGCCCCCTGCTGCCAACTTTTGACAGCACTGCCCTTGCACAAGTCTCTTCTTTGTCCCCAGTTATGGCGCAGGCCCCGGCAGAGAAAGGTGCAGCTGGTTTTGCTATCGATTTTCTCATGGGAGGTGTATCTGCTGCTGTTTCCAAAACTGCTGCTGCTCCTATTGAGCGTGTTAAACTACTGATACAGAATCAGGATGAGATGATCAAGGCTGGTCGACTTTCTGAACCATACAAAGGTATAACTGACTGCTTTGCCCGAACAATTAAGGATGAAGGTGTCCTTTCTCTGTGGAGAGGAAACACTGCCAATGTTATCAGATACTTCCCTACCCAGGTCAATTTTCTTTCACATGAGATCTACATATCTTTAGTCGTCCGATGTTGTCTGTATTACTTCATGCTCCCATGTATCTGTGTTGTTGTGTTTCCATTGAGCATTTCCCTTTAATTGACATTCTAAGTTGTTTAAACTTGTGTTTCAGGCCTTTAACTTTGCTTTCAAGGATTACTTCAAGAGGCTTTTCAACTTCAAGAAGGATAAAGATGGCTACTGGAAGTGGTTCGCTGGGAACCTGGCATCAGGTGGTGCTGCTGGTGCTTCATCTCTTCTTTTTGTGTATTCTCTGGACTTTGCAAGAACACGTTTGGCAAATGATGCTAAGGCTGCCAAGAAGGGTGGTGAAAGGCAGTTTAATGGTTTGGTTGATGTTTACAAGAAAACCCTCAAGTCTGATGGCATTGCTGGGTTATATCGAGGATTCAACATCTCTCTTGTTGGAATTATCGTGTACCGTGGGCTTTATTTTGGAATGTACGATTCTCTGAAACCTGTGGTTCTAACTGGTGGCCTGCAGGTATGTTAAATCTTTTTATCTTTTTCCCTATAGGGATTTTTTTTGTGGGGAGCTATTTGATAGTTTCGGCTGTGTGATTCCCTTATACTGTTGATGTTTCCCTTGTTTTTCATTATAAATTGATGGGTAGTAAAGGGACAGTGTTTACATTAATATTAAAGGCAGTTAGCTGCTTGAATCATTTTCAACATGGCTAGAGTTGCTTTGACCACTGCCTGCCTTGCCCAAAATGAAGCGGTGAAGGATCAATATGTACTGGGAATTAGCTCCAGCGGCTGTTGGAATTTTGGTTTATTCTGTATATGTATGAGGAGGTGAAGTTGCTACTTTTTGGCCTATTTTGCTACGGTATTGGATTTGAATCTGTGCCCCTTAAGCATGTTTAGGAAAATGATATATGTAAATCTGTGCTTAGTTCACTGGATATTAACACATCAAAGGCATGTTGAAGTTCATTGCTGTTTTTCACATGGTGATTTACAGGATAGCTTCTTTGCTAGCTTCGTGCTGGGATGGGGAATTACGATCGGTGCTGGATTATCTTCTTACCCTTTGGACACAGTGCGCAGAAGGATGATGATGACCTCAGGAGAAGCTGTGAAATACAGTAGCTCTTTTGATGCATTTAAGCAAATCATCAAAAACGAAGGTGCTAAGTCGCTGTTTAAGGGTGCTGGAGCAAACATATTGCGTGCTGTTGCAGGTGCCGGTGTGCTTGCTGGCTATGACAAGCTGCAAGTCGTACTTCTTGGCAAAAAGTATGGGTCTGGCGGCGGTGGTTAATGATATGCTATGTTGACGAAATCATTAGTTATTGTGTGAGCACCGACTCTAGTTGAAGAATTTGGATGAACGGAAGTGCTTTTATGTTTCCAAATGTTTGTGGATTTGTTATTAGAAAGTATAGTTACAAGGATGAAGAAATTTGAATTTTGGGTGATTGTTATCTGTAATTGAGCTCTGAATATAAGTGCTTTTACGTTTTTAATCGTTCCTTTGTTGAGAATAGGTAGTGGTTTCGTCTAAATTTCGCGTTCCTTTATGCCTCCTGTTTTGTGGCGGATTCTGTTTCATACTTTTATAGTTCCATTTTTCAGGTTGAGTTTAGCTATTTTTAGGCTGCTTCTCTTGTGGGCGCGGTTCTTGGGTAGGGATGCCTGTATACGGTGTTGCATTGTTTTGTGAGGTTGGTTGCGTAAGACACGTGATCAGACGGTCTGGCCTAACTCATTCAAGCTAGTAGGCTTGGTTCTTGGGTAGGGATGCTCGTATATGGTGTTGCATTGTTTTGTGAGGTTGGTTGGGTAAGATACATGATCAGACGGTCTGGCCTAACTCATTCAAGCTAGTAGGCTTGGTTCTTGGGTAGGGATTCTCCAAGCAAACTTGGATTGTCTGCCCTCCCCATCCCATGCCCTCCTATATTTTGTGGTCAAAGTTAAATCACGTCAACATTTTATATTGATTTTTTATAGAAATAATAATAAGATAAAAAGTAATGAAAATATAAAATGTTGACGTAACTTAATCGTGACCACAGAATTAGAAGGGCATGAGGAGGGTATGGAATGAGGAGGGCATACAATCCAAGTCCCTCCAATTACACAAAAAATGAACAACAAAATGCTTATCAAGAGTACCCTTCTCCTAGACCCCACGATTTAAGAGACTGAGGGTCCCCCACCTTTCGATCTTAACATAATGATGGAGGAAAAAGTACAACTACAACAAAAATTAAATGACCATTTACCGTTAGATTAAGATCGAATATTGAGTGACCACAATTTTCTTGGACCACGGATTCTAGGAGAACCGTACTGTGCTTATCAAATGGGTCTTGGTTTTTATTGCTAATATTACAAATTCCTGCCCAGCTATATAACAAATTATGGTTAGACAACCTTAACAGATGGCTGGTTTTCTATAATGCAGTGCAGACTTAAGATTCAATGCTTTAATTGAAGACTTGCTCTCTCTCTCTCTCTCTCTCTCTCTCTCTCTCTCTCTCTCTCTCTCTCTCTCTCTCTCTCTCTCTATACATTTTTAGGCAGACAAACATTCAAGGAAGACAGGGACGTATGATCTTCATATCTTGAACTACTTGATGCGGCCGCAATTTGATTGCAACAACATTTCCTTGAGCTTGAAGAAATCCACCCTCTCCAGGTCTTGGGGGAGTCTGAAGCTGTCTTTCTCCAGCTCCACTTGAAACAACTGTGAAAGTTACATGGAAGGAAGGAGGAGTTAGGTCCTTAATCCTTATCAATTATTCTACCTACAGCCATTATATTTTATAAACACCACTTTGTCAAACTGTGTTGCCATCATATTTTCATATGTCAAACACAAAAGCATTCATCTTTATCTTTCGGGCCAATTGTAATGGTTAACTGTCGCTGTAACTTGTACGTCGATACCATGTAACATTTTCTTTCTGTGTTATCATCTTGTCTGAGAAACAGTTCGATCTGTCTACATTGAGTCACATGTACACGAACATGATTAAACACGAGACTAGGATATTATGTCTGCGTGTGCTACTTATTACTTGAATTGAATGGGAGCGGGGAGGGAGAGCTCCGAAGGTATATATAAACAGAAGCTCTTTACTACTTCTACAAGTCCTTCTACCATATCGATCTCAAACCAACTCACCGAGGTGTGTGGATAGAGTGAAGAATGTCTTCCTTTTCACTTTCTTCCTTTGCCTGCCATGTATTTTCATTGCTCCTAACTTTCCTTCTAGTTCTATCTTGTCTGTTCAGCAATTTCAGTCTGGCTGCTGCTGCAAAGCGCAGCAGCAGCCACGTCTATGTCTCTCATCACCATCATAGCCACCGCGGGCACCACAACCATCCACATCCTGCAGCAACATCCGATGATTCAAACCCAAGACTCTACCAAGCTTTTCTTGCTCTCCAAGCATGGAAGCACGTAATTTACTCTGATCCATACAACATCACAAGCAATTGGGTTGGTCCTTCGGTTTGTAACTACATGGGTGTGTATTGTTCACCAGCTCTTGATGACCCCAAAATCCAAGTTGTTTCTGGCATCGACCTTAACCATAGGGACATCGCTGGATTTCTCCCTGAGGAATTTGGCCTGTTGTCGGATCTTGCACTTATCCATCTAAATAGCAACCGCTTTTGTGGCATCCTCCCTCAAAGTATGGCCAACCTTACACTCCTTTTCGAGCTTGATCTTAGTAACAACAGATTTGTAGGCCCTTTCCCCACAGTTGTCCTCTCTCTTCCTACCTTAGGCTATCTTGATCTTCGGTACAACGAGTTTGAAGGGCCATTACCTCCAGAACTTTTCAGGAAAAAACTCGATGCCATATTTGTTAATAACAACCGCTTAACCAGTGTAATTCCAGCGTCATTGGGTGGAAGCTCAGCCAGTGTAGTGGTGTTTGCTAATAACAACTTTGGCGGGTGCCTTCCCCCAAGCATAGTCAATTTCGCAGGTACTCTAGAGGAACTGCTGTTAATTAACACGAGTTTGTCAGGGTGTTTGCCCCAAGAAGTTGGGTTTCTGTACAAACTGAGGGTGTTGGATGTGAGCTACAACAAGCTTGTTGGTCCTATACCTTACAGCATGACGGGGCTATCTCATTTGGAGCAACTAAATTTGGCCCACAATATGCTGACCGGGATTGTACCCGCTGGAGTTTGTGGTCTCCCAAACTTGGCGAATTTCACATCTCTTACAACTATTTCTGTGAGGAAGAGGGGGCCTGCCAGAATTTGACATCGAAAGGCATTGCCTTTGATGAACGCCGTAACTGTTTCCCCGAGAAACCTTACCAGAGGACCCAGAAAGAATGTAATGCCATACTCGAGCATCCTGTTGATTGCTTCGAATATCCTTGTGGCAGTGGCGGTGCATCTGCTTCCGCCCCAAGCATTGCCGCAGTGCCAGCAGCAACGCCTCTGTCTTCGCCTCCTAGTGCGGCAGCTCCTACCTATACATGAATTAAATTAGTAATAATCATCATAAAATTAAGAATGTCAATTGGTCTAGAACCAAGAATAAGGGGACAAGCCCATTTCATACAGTTTGATATTGTAAATTAATACTGGATCATGTAAAAGTTGTTCAATCAAGTTCCGATGGAGTAGAGAAACTTGTATAGTTACTATGGAAGTTTTCGGTGAAACAACCTAACGGTTTCCTTTGGTTTTTGTTTCATTAACCAGATTGTCGCTGCGCAGGTTGCTTTAATCAGTCATTGCTTTGTGTAGTTTTCCGCAGCCTTGTTTTTCCTTCTTGTTGCATTTTAGCTTTGGCATTAGGGTTTCGAGTTATTGGTGTCTTTTGTTTCTGTTTGCTTTTACGATTTGTTAGTTTGTTTCCCTGGACAAAATCGTATGGCGTTTGCAAAATATTTGGAGACAACTTTTGATTCCATAATCCGGTAAACACATGTACAACAAGCGCATTTCTTTGAGACAACATACATCTGAAGCTTCTGACAAAGTTTGGGAGTTAAATTAACAGATGCTCCCTGAGATGAGCTCAGCCAGGAGGACTGATTGGGTAATTAAGACACAGTGAGGCCCTTTGCTTGACCAGTAAATCGCTTAGTTTCCTTATAAGCTGAGGCTCCGAGCACAAGTAATCCTGGAAGGACTCCCTCAGATCCTGCAACAGCTTCTTGTGGTTACAGCCGGGGCTACTATTAAGCAGTTTCTTAAAGAAGTTCCTCCAGAGTTCGACATTCCAGTATCTGAGCTCATTTGAACGACAAGAATTGAAATCAAAATCGTCAAAACGTAAACTAAAGGGTGAAAGTAAAGATAAGAGATGGAAGAGATGTGTTTGCATTCGCATTGCTCATGTTACGACCCAATGCAAGACTTTCTCATTTTTAGGCAACCTTTGCTAAAGTAACGATCAAGTTTTGGAGCGAAACAAAAATCGATAAGATGGACAAGTGGTCATGTATGCAGGACTGAGAGAAAGGTACCTTTTAAAAGATGACTTGGGCAGATAGAAGTGACCACCTTCGGGTGATGGTTTCTTGTCAATTTCCATGTAAGAATTATGCAGCATCGTGTGGACAACAACACAGAGTCCGTATGTGTCTACCTGGTAACAAGAAGTTACACAAATTAGATATAAGAAAATGTTGACTGAAATTAGAATAGAAAAAAAAACGTGGACTATACTTGATATGTCCATGGCCTATTCTCTTGCATTTCCACACAACGAAATCCAGAAGTCCGGCAATCTCCCGTAAACTCCACATTGTCAGGAAAGAGATGCAGATCTATCCCTCTTCCCCAGTCGACAAGGCATAGACCCTGTAAGATAACCCCAGATTAATCATAAAAAACTAAGCTGAATACTAGTCTTCAATCTGATACTAGTCTTTTACAACCACAAATAACCTGATCAAGCCACGGACCACTTCTCTCACGAAATTCTTCTTCTGTAAAGTCAGTTCTGTCACAAGATCCGGCTTTTGTAAGGCCATTCCTGCCAAATGGTAAATTAATTGATGATGCAAATGGGTAAGCTTCATAACACACAATCAAGCTCTTACATGAAAGTTGGATTTTTTTTCCTCTCTTTATTAGACTTCTTAAAATAAGTTGCACGTACGAGCTAGCGGTTCTAACTAGAAATAAAATTGTCCCATGTTACTATTGAAGATAAGAAACTGTCTCCCACGCAAGGCATAGGTTAACTAATAGAAACTTAAGCTAAAAACACGTCCTATCACCAGAGTATGCAGTAAGAATAAGACTAGAAAAAGAAAGAATGACAATCAATGCTGCTAGTAAGTAATGACCTCTAAGAGGGGACAAACGAAGGGAGATGAAAATCAGATTGTGAGTAAAATATAATTAGTAAGGTCCAGTTTTCTGTATGTTCAAGTACCAGTCTGCTGTCGTAACGCTCAAGATCTACAAGGGAGAATGTTTGTTACCTAGCATAACGAATAAGCAAATTATCAGGCTTGAAATCTCCATGAATGATGCCAACACCATGCAGAGTTTCTAGCATGTAGAGCATTTCTATGGTGTAATAAATGCATAACACTTCTTCCATGGACTTGCCTTTGAAGGCATATGAATTTATTGCATCCTGCACAAGATCTTTAGGTTACAATAAGCATGACAAGAGTATGGCAGACATGAAAATTGGTATGATGTATGTTTCACTAACCTGAAGTGTTCCACTAGCAAGATAGTCGGAGACTAGAATGCTACAGTCGGGATAGAGATGCATTCTATGAGCAAACCCAAAGCTTGACCTCTGATACAATAACATATCAATTGTAAAATAAACAGAACCAGCAACTACCAATAAAAAACTTGGAGGATCAGAAAATGCTTACTTCCTTGTCTGAGATCCGTTGATCAAGTTGACGATACATATAGAACTCCCAAGGGAAAGCAGGCTTTTGTATCTGCCACAGATTTCCAAAACTGAAATTATCCGGTAATACACTGGTCATCATTAGGAGAGTAGAAGTCTGGTAGATTTTACCTTCAATGCAACAACATCTTCAGGATTACAATTGACATATGCTTTATATACTTGAGCAAAGCCACCCTGACCTGCACAACCAGTGATCTGGTACTTCGTACGACCTATGAGTACCATGATATGGGTAATGAACATAATACGTTAACCTTCTACCTTCAAATGTTAACCTTCTACCTTCAAATGGAGCATCAATAGATAAAATGGAAGAATATTTGAAAAACCGAAACACTCAATTAATTTGATTGAACTAAATGTTCTGAATATCCAAGAAGATTCTAGCTCCCTCGGCCCTAGCTCAGGTGGTAACACCTAGTAGTGAAGTTGGTAACAGTCCAATTCTTGAGTGAAATAGAGAATATAAATAATTAAAGTTAAAATAAAAGAGAAATGAGTGATGCATTAAAACTTCGAGAAAAGACTTTTGATCAGGATATGAACTGCATATCCGGTAAGGGTCCATGAAGCAAACTCCAAACAGTTGAGATTACAGCTAACTGAGGTTGCGTTGTGTATAAATAGAACTGCTTGTTGGTATTGGCAAAAACCATAACAGTCACAGGTCCCTAACGTAGAGATGATAACATATCCTCCAACATCATTTCTATCTGATACCGGATGCTCAAGGATGTGTGCTTGATGAGATTGAAAAATGAGAATAAACATCTTTCTTATACATCGAAGGCAAAATGCAAACAGACAGTAGAAAAGACTAAATGTCTATCCATCTCTAAAATCTCATTAAACAATTTACGTTGAGAAATGTCTTCTTCTAAATCCAAGTTCAACCAAGCATTAGTGGGTTTCAGCACAAGATACTTATGAGTTTTTTGTTTAGAAGCCTAGCATTCCTGAACTACTTCGTAAGAAAAGTGAAAAACCATCTTACTTAGCTAAGAAGTTAGAACTCAGAAGTAAAAATTTATGTCTAAACTCATATATTGTGACATAGAAAAGAAAATGAACCAGTAATGTGAATCACCTATCTCAATAGTTTTGTTCCTGGACGAGTTCTTGAGAGAAGACAAAGCCACTTTTCCCGAGTAAGCTTTAGTAGTAGAATGGTATCCCTGAGTCATGTGTGCAAAATCCAAAAAATAACTCTTAATCCGACAACATTAGAGATTATCCAATGATGACTTGATGAGGAAGAAAGTATCTCACATCATATTTTGTAAGTTGACGATTAACTTTCTTCAATAGGTCTTTCATGGTGGAGCTGGACCATGGGTTGATGAGGCTCCCAAAAGGAACTGCTTCATCTTTTCCAATCTGCACGACGGAAATGCAAATTGATCAATTTTCGTACATCCAACAACATATTTACTTTGCAACTAATCAAAACACTTCAAGCAATAGTTGTGAAAAAATATAGAGCAATGAAGAAGAGAAGGTAAAACATATCAATTGCCTACACGTAAAACACGTACATGAAACAAGGTTCGCTTACCTTCTGAGCTGAAGAAGCTATTCTATACATCCGAGCAAGAAATAAGGCATGCGCCTTCTCCACCCACTCAACTGGCTTAGCATTCCTACCACCACACGAAACATCATAAGCATAATTATATTCAACAACAAAACTGCAGACCTCAATTTCGGGACACGCGCGCAGACGCAAAATCCTGTTGGGAGACAGAGGCAGACCTTGAAATACCCATCTGATAAACCATGTGTGCATCGTACAATTTCTCTTTGGCTTCGAGAAAGATCGCGTACCAGACATAAAGCAAAGAGTGGCCAACACAAATCTCCCTGTGCAACATTTCCAGAAAAACGCTTTCGAAATCTTCACTGGTATCCATCTGCAAATCCACAAAGACAAGTAATTAAATTTTCCATATCAATCACATTGACAAACAAACTAAACAACCTCCTCAAAATTTTAACCCAAAAAATGTACCAAATTTGATATTTATTAACATAATCAAAGCAACTAAACAAAACCAAAATTGAAAGTAATAAAAATAAATTGACCCATAAAAAATACATAAGCAAAATGTATGAAAAAAAGGTCAGAAATTAGAGAGGGAGTGTATTAATACATACATAGAGGAACCAAATCTTGAGAAATCTGATGTCGTCCCTGTACTGAGCATTGTCCTTGAATGTGGCGATGCAGTCGGATAGAAGCTTGGTGAGATCCAACCCGGAATCCTTTCCGGAGTGAAAATCTTCTAGGGCTTGCTTCACGGACCTGGTTCGGTAACTAATTTCAGTAACAATTTGAAGAAATTGAAGGGTAAGAGAGAGAGAGAGAGAGAGAGAGAGTACCAGAGCCAGGGCAAGAGAGGGTCGTGGAGAGGAGTGGTGTCGGAGTCCATGGCCTCTGCTGTGTTTCTTATGTACACAAAACGACAGATGAGATGAGAAGAAACGTGAATTGGAAATTTGGAAGAGCGAAGCTGAGTGAGATATCATTCATTCGCATTCAGAGAACGAAAAAGAAGCGCGGAAATGTGTTTTTGAATTTGGAAGGAAGGGTTTGTAATTTGTTACCTTTCTTTGGAAAAGTTTAGTTGAACCAATCTAACCTCGCAATACACCCAGCTTAAAATTTAAATGTGAGTTACGTTTTTTATAATGCTAGAGAAACCAAATTTTTTAAATTAAATGATGTAGTTGTTGATGATTGGATTATTA